ATATGATTGTCAAGACGAGAAAGCTTCTGTGTGTATGAAACCGTCAACAATCAGTTCTACGCTTGAGAGTATTACATATAAAAGATAATATGCTCTCACACATTAGATTTATACATAATTATCTCTTATATACTAACAATCTTTTAGATTAGAAAATTCTCACACCATGTTCATAAGACACTACATTTTTTCATATTAAAAAAAGACAAATAATTTGACACCATTAAACACTTCTATCTCGAAAACTTTCACACAATGTTTATGAAACATAACAATTATTATTTCTTAATTAATAAAAAATCAAATACATTTGAAAAGTACATTAAAAAATAAATTTACATGTCAATCATGCATGTTTGTGACACTGAACGAGAGATAAAACGTATCAACCATTTTTAATAAAAATAATTTTTCGCCGATCAAAAAAGAAGAAGTTAAATGTATCAACCCAACTTAACAATTAATAGTTATACCAAAACAAAAAAAAAAAAATAGTTATACTGAATTATTATTGATATACCGCAGCTGTGAATTTAAATTAAAATACAATATCAAGACAAACTTTAACATTAATAATATTACAATAAACACAGAGCACATCCAAATCCAGGAAAAATGAGAAGGTAAAAAGAAAAGGAAAAGAAGCACACAAGTCCACGCAACGCGCGTAATTTAGGTTTTAGTACACGAGAAGAAGGGATGATATTTAACCACATATACATTGACGCAGGATGGGGAACTTTTTCAAAGATGAAATCTGGGAACAAGTCAAAACTTTACTCTCTGTTTTGAAAAAAATAGGGTATAAAGTCTTAATTAGAGGAAGAAGGTGTTTTACAAAAATGCAAACATAAGGACAGCCAAAAAGGATAAAAGTAGCAATATTGTACGGCGTGATTCGTTTGGGATTCACAAGTTTCATAGAAGCAAAACAGCAAATTAGCATGATTCCCATGGACGAGAAGAGAAAATAAAAGCTCATGGCCAACTTGAAAATCAAGAATCCACTTAGGAAATCTTCTTCGGTAAGCCTCGATTTGTGGATATCCAAAAACAACACGACTGAAAGAGATGCTAAATAGACAGCAAGTAGATCCCATCCTATGAATAGCCTAAAATATCCTCCTTTAGAAAATATGGGGAGGCCATCCTGCTCATTATTACCACCAGGAACAGTAATACCTGCTGCAAACATAGTGCCAACGATGAGAGTGCCTATAACTGCGGCAAAACTTGCCGTCTCTTTTACCCACGTTTGAGCCTCTTTAAGTAAATCCTGGTGTTCTTTGCTAAACATTTCTGAAGGAGTTTCGCCAATTTTATTTCTTTGTCCTTTATAAAATGTTGGAACAATGTGTGCAACCGCCTGAAATAATTAATTTGTTAAATGAGAAAAAAACTGGTCACTGAAAAGGACAACTATATTTAAATCCTTAAACAGACATTGATATATAAGTGCTTATTTCTAAAAATTAAATTAAATTAAGAGAAAAATTACCTAAAATCTATGTCGGTTTAATAACTTTATATTAAAAAAGACTAAAACAACTTCTTTTAAAAACATGAATGAGATTATTTTTGACCTTTTTTTATGATACTTTATTAAATAATGTGATTTTAAAGTAATTTTACTCTTAATTTTTAAGAGGTCCAGCAGATAAGTACTAATAAATTGAGATCATGAAAGTTTTTTCAACGATTACCGCAAACCACTTTGCTTCGCTTTGCATTTGAAGAACCGGATCAGATAAATGATGAATATGGGGAGAGCTGGGAGGTAACTTTGCGACCAGATGTAACATATTGTTTTGGTCGTCATCTGTGGTAAACTCCGTCATGTTCCTCCACGCATTGTGTCCATAAAGAAACTTGGCAATTTCCTTTTGACGATGTGCTACAGCATACATTAACATGTCTCTTGAGTGTTCGGGATCATGGCTCCAAACCATATCAGGATTAGCTTCTATAATTTGTTTTACAAAGTCAAGGTAGCCAAGCTTGATAGCCTTGAAGGTAGCTTCCACTGCTCCGCTTCTTAGAAGTTGGTCTCTTTCTAAAGTTGACAGTTGCTCACATATGAAATGTACCATCTCACGGGCATAGGCGCGGTCATACTTTAGATTATATGCTTTTAACCGACCTAGTTAAGAGCAAAAATTGTGTACAAGGAAATTTATAAGTAACAGAATCAAACTGATTAAGAAACCTGTTCCACTGAATGGAAAAGTTATTGTGTTATTCCTAGGAACTGTGTAGAAGCATTAAACCAACCACAAAGGACTGAAGGAGAACCTATAGTACAAATTTATTCAACTATTGAGTTAATTAATTTCACAGCACTACAGCCACCACTAAACTTTTGGCATGAATAATATACCTGGCTTTTCTGGGAGGGTTTTCCATTTATCACCAACTAGCAGAGCCTCAATGATAGGTACTTTACCTTCGGTTACAATTAGAATCAATAAATTAGATGTATGGAGCCAGTAAATATGAAAAGAAATGAATATGAAAAAAGATTATAACAATTATATTTATAGAAGCTTGGATAGCTCTTTTCTCATCTCCCTCTTTACCAAACTTAAGGTTTGAACTTGAGACCTCCAAATTAGAGTCTAAGTTATTCGGCCACTCTCTTGGGAGCATAACAATCATGTTGTTTTGTCCTAAGCATGCTTGCAATGAATCTTGGGTTTGGGAATCTAATTAGATTCATATTTGATGCAGCTATATATATATATATATATGATAGTGATTGGTACATATTTTAGTTCAACACATTATACAACACATTCATTAATTATTTTCTAGTCTAAAATTAAAGTAGACAAACTAAAAGATGCAGCCATGCATATAGGATGTAATAACCAACTGAATTGGTTGTACTTATATTATATTTTGATAAGTAAACTGAGACAAGTGTTAGAAAGTATATTAAATCAAGTGTGTCTCAATCATTTTTCAAATATATAAAAATAGCGAACAGAACACCATACAAATTTGGCAACTAAATGAAAGCAGTCCGGGCCAGTTATGTAGTGAAGCATAATTGATCATAATGGAATAAGTTTCTTTAGTATATTTTCTATTTTTTATCTGCAAAGAAATTACTCCTTAATTAGTTTTTGTGAGATCTGAACTTTATACCTTTAAACATGGAATTAGACATTTGAAAGTAAGTGCTTATCAACTTTTATAGCAAAAAAACAAAATTAAAATATAAGATCAAAAAAATAGAATTAAAATATATCCACAGAGAAATTCAATTGAAAATTGTAAAGAGAGGAGAGGCGTACTTACAAAATGGTATATATACCATAAGTGGCCATTCCCAAAATGGAACATGCTTGTACCAAATTCCAGCAAACAATGATGATAGTACTTGGACCAACTCTGAAATAATAGGGGTTGGTTCCAAAGAGCTTTTGTGAAATGTCAAATCTGGAAATTTGCACAGCAGATCCAGTCCAATCTCTGACTCAAATACAGTTTGTTTGAGAATTAAATTAGGGTAAAATAAAAGCAGAGCAAAGAGAAATAGAAAAAAAAAAATTAAAATTTACATGCAGCTCTTACCGAACATACGGTTCCTTAAACACTCTCTGAGGAGGAAGAATCCATGGTCCCCATTTACTGGATCTAGAATTTCAATAGGTGTCACCGAATAAAGATAAAGAGTCAAACACTTATGGTGTGTGGCACATGCCAATACAAGTGGGATCTTCTTCTCACAATCTGGGATTTCAAGCAATTTCTTGTTCTTTGCAACCAAACATTCTACAATCTCTCTACTCCCCTTACAAGCAGCCAAGTGAAGAACTGTCTTACCACTCTTATTTTGTGTTTCCAACTCTCCTGCTTCTGACATCACCGAAATCAGTTCCTTAGCCAACTCTATCTTGCCAGCAGTAATTGCAACATGAAGAGCAGTGGAACCGTTTTCTAATGCTCTTGCAGAATATGAAGAATGTGTTTCCAAGAGTTTCTTTACAGCATCAGAGTCCCCCTTTTCTATGTCCTTGAGCAATGTCACGGCTTGTTTCCTTTCAACAGTCTTGATTCCTACCAAGGATTGTAAGATATGAATATTTTCGATCTCAGGCAATATTAAAATTAAGAAACAGGAAAGAGGAGTGTATTCCATGTTTTAGACAGATATGTAGAGATGGAAAATAAACCTGTATCTTTGTTCCCATCTTCATTTGGCTGTTTATGCAAGTCAGCCAATGCATTCCAAGCATCTTTGGCTGAATTAATCTCTTTAATCCGATCAAACTTTTCTGCACCACATGAAATCTTAATTGCATACAGAGCTAAAGCATTCTTTTTAATCCACTCCCTTGGGTCTTCTCCATCAGGCATCTCGCTGGATAGAACCACATCCCAAAGGTCTTGAGCCACTAAATAGTGTTGCATGAAAATGCACCATCTTTCATAATTCTCTTTTTTATGAACCTCAGGCTGCACAATCATGCGTGGAACTA